GGAGGCGCAGACAGGGCTTTGATTGTTTGGACAAAGGCAAGAGAGAAGGTGGTGTTTTCTGCCAAATTTGCAGCCTGTGGGATGGGTGTTCTGTAATCCAGGGGCAGCTCTGGCCTGAGCTTCAAAGCAACCACCAAGTCTCCTGATGGTGCTGCCCGAGGGAGGCCCCAGGGGCTCCTCTGAAGGGCTGAATAAGGTCAGAAGAGCCCAGCGGCTCCCTGAGGGACGTCAGAGCATTGCCAGCACCGGGTGCTCCTTGCCTGGCTGGCCCCTGACCTCTGCGCTGTACTCCCACGTGGGGGCCGTCCAGTGCTCCCCCGCTACCCCCCACCCCCCGCAGGCCCTCTCCCCAGTTCCTTGCTGCCTGGTCAGCTCCTCTGCGGCGTCCCCAGCCCCACTTACTTCCTCCTGTCCCTCTACCCCCGACCCTGACTCATTTGGCCCTGTCTGATATGATCGGTCTGTTGGTCTATCAGTCGCCTGCCTCCCCCGACCTCCCGCATAGTGCAGAAGACTTGAGCTCAAAAAGAGCATCTTCTTGCCACCCCGCCCCACTCACAGAGTGATTGACCCATCTCAGCATCTCGTCTGGCAGTCACCAGTGTACCTCCAAACCTAGGCTTTGGGGCTCTTTCTTTCCTTGGTGACTATCACGACCATAACCCACCTTCCTGCTTTGTATTTACCAATAGCAACAAGTTTACTTAGAAGAAAGTGGCTGTTTTCCACGTGCAAGGGGGGCATTTTACAACGTGACCAGACAGTACGTGGTTATCGCTGTTGTGTAATTGTCACCATGTCTGGATGTCTTAAACTAGCTTTAAATGAACTTGGGCTCACCTGAGGGTGACAGGAGCACTGTGCAGCGGGCAGTACCACGCCCATCCCTCCACCGGCTCCCCAGGGACATGTCTTTTAGATGTAATGCAGGTTCCCTTGTGCCTCCCAGTGGAGCCCCTGGGCTGTCAGCGCCCCTGCACCAGCTTTGTGTGTGTTGATTCCCCACTTGTTTAGAGGTGTTTGTGGGCATCTTGCCCTTCCCTCCTGCTAGTGCACAGGCCAATTTGGGGATGGGAAATTTTTTGCAGACTGGATGTGCAAAAAGTGTCGGGGGGCATTTCTGGGAGGGGAAAAAACACACACACACAAAACACAGGACGAGGGGGCACAGTTGGGTTCAGAGCTGCCTGGGATGAAACTTGGCTGAGAGATAGGGTGGGGTGTGCAGGTTGGCAGCCAGGAAAGGCCTGGACCGCCCAGGTGAGCAGGCTGTGCTTGGCTAGGTGGAGGCAATGGGAGCCACGAGGTCACAGCTGGGCCACAGTTGTTTGCAGGTGGGATTCAGGTGGAGGGAGGGCGAGGAAGAGGGAAGGGAGAGAAGGAGGGGGAAGAGGAGGAGGAGGAACAGGCGGCAGCCTCAGGGAAGGGGCCGGGTTGGCAGGCAGGAGGCGGCTGTAGGCTAAGGCTCGGTGACACATCGCTGGCCTGGGTGGTGGCAGTGGGAATAGCAAGGCGTCATTGTGAACACTTCAGGCACCCTTGTCTTGCCAAAGCCCAATCTCCCATGCAATGCTGGGTGCTGACGGACGGGTGTCACCTGATCCCAGGAGGGGGGCATGCACAGAACTGGGAGCAGAGCCAGCTGACAGGGGAATGCCTGAAGGGGGAGGGGACCCTCCAGCTTCTCAGCAGCTGGCCTTTGTTGTCATTAGAATTATCCGTGTGATATTTCTTTGTCTTCTGGCACTCCAGGACGTGTGGCAGGGGAGAGGGTACACACTCTTGCCTATACGCAGCGAGAAGCCAGGGAGCAGAGGCGGACTGTGGCATTGAATGTTTGACGCCCATACCTGTGGAGTCTAGAGGCTGGGAGTGTGGGGTCTCAGAAGCGCATGAGGGGAGGCCTAGCTGTCAGCACTCCAGCACCTCGGGTGAGTCACTGGACCTCATCTCTCAGCACCTGCCTTCTCTTCTCTAACAGGATCGCTGCAGAACAATGAAGGCGAACATCTCCAGCATGCTCACTGCCGGCTGGGCAGGCAACCGTGCTTAGGCTCTGGGAGTACTGGCCTGCTCCACCGTCTCCCTGACTCCAGGGGAGGAATCATTTCCCCGCATTGTACAGAAGAGGGAGCAGAAGCTCAGAGAGGTGGAGTGAATTCCCTAGAGTCACACAGCTGGAGATGCATGGTCCAGCTCCTCCGGCTCCTACCCTTTCCGCTGTATATATCCTTCTAGCCAGGTCCTGAAGTGCTCTGACACCTCATCATGAAATGCCTGGAGCATGCTTTATGATTCTCGCATGGGCCTGCACGAGGATGTTGCAGCGGCCTCATTCATCACTGCCGAAACTTGGAAGCAACCACCGTGTCGTCCAGCAAGCGAATGGATTGACAAATCGTGGTCCATCCAGGCACTGGAGCATTATTCAGCGCCAAAAAGAAGATGGGCTGTCCAGCCATGAAGAGACAGGGAAGACCGTAAACGTTTGCACATCGCTAAGGGAAAGCAGCCCCTGGAGCTGTGAGAGTCCCACTCTGTGACTGTGGGAAAGACAGAACTATGGAGACAGCCGGTGGGGAGGGGAGGGGGTAGGCGCAGGCAGAGCCCAGGGGATCCTTAGGCAGTGAGAACTTGCTGTGCGACACTGTGATGATGGACACATGTCATCATACACCCGTCCAAGCCTACAGAAGGCCCGACACCAAGAGTGACCCTCAGGTAACCTGAGGGCTCTGGGTGTCTTAGCTTTGGCTGCTACAGCAAAAATGCCATGGACTGGGTGGCTGGAACAACTAACATTTTTTTCTCAAGGCTCTGGAGGGTGGAGGTCAAAATCAAGGGTGCCAGCAGACTTGGTGTCCAGAGACAACTGCGTCCTGGTTTGTGGACAACTGTCCTCCGGCTGCATCCTCACGTGGTGGAAGGGGTGGGGGGGCCCCCTGGAGTTCCCCCTGTAAGGGCATTCTGCACACTCTTGAGAGCAAGAGTCTAGTCGCCTCCCAAAGGGCCCACCTCCTAAAACCACCACACGGGGCATCAGGCTCTGGCACAGAGACCCCCAGGGGGGACAGGGATACTCGGTCCGTGGTGATAATAGTGCGTCAGTGTGGATCATGACAAAGGGCTGCTGGGCTGCGGGATGCTGATGCTGGGAGGTTGTGTCGGGGTGGGTGGTGTTGGGGGGACATGGGAACTCTGTGTGCCTTCCACTCAGCTTTGCTGTAAACCTAAATGTTTCTAACAATAAAATCTATTTTTTAAAAATCCTAAAGTGATCCAAATGCAAGTTCATATACATGATCAAGTTTGCAACATTTGGGTTACAGTATCAGAACATTTTTTACACGAGAGCCAGCCAATTTCTTCCTAGGGGTCTCTTATAAAATTACTTCTTCTTATAAGTGCCTGGCTTTTGGGATTCTTCTAACTTGCAAACATGGCGTGAAGGGCCAAAGGCCATGTCCTTTCTTTGTGGTGTCACCTGCTTTCTAAAACTGCCCCTGGGGGTTTGTTCCATGTCTGGTTGCCTTCTGGGGGTCACACCAGTGTCCATCTCAGAGACCTGGACTTTGCTTAGCACCTGGGCACTGCTGTGAGCATGGCTACCAGGGAGCTGTGCACACATTTCTGAGCTGGGGCCAGGCAACGTACATGAAATACTGCCTGCAGATCTGTGATGTTTTCCGAAAGTGGGAAAAGGACAGAGACCACTCTGAGATTGCATTTATAACTTCCTATTGTCCAAGGCAACGCTTTGTATTCCTCTTAGGAGCCTGGTGAAAGGCATGGTCACTCTACTGCAGCAGAAGGTCTGTTAATGCCTTTACGTATTAAAGCTATGGATCCCACTGAGGACTGAGAATTGTGACCAGGAGCCACAAGATTTGCAGTTAAGCACATTGGGTTACAGCACTCGCAGCTCCTTCCCAGCTGGGTGAAGGCTCTTTAACATGTTTTTCCTCCTCTAAAGATAGCCAGTCACATTGCCACCTTCGCTCATTGACATTTAGGTATGGTTTCCAAGGCACGTGGCCCGGCGCCTAGCACATTCGTACATTGTTGCTGTCATGAATTATGTTCTGTGTGATAAACGCGGGGGGCAAGCTCTGTAAGACCTTGAATGAGTCCTGGTAACACCTGGAACATCATTTCCCATTTCTGTGTAGTGGGTCCTAAAATGCTTTGTTTCACAGGTTTATGAGGGTCGTCGTACCGGGTGTACAACTGAGAAGCAGCCCCACTTCCTGAGTGTGTAGGGCGTGCCATCACTCCTTGGGAGTGGTTAATGGTTTCCTCCATCGTGTGACGGTAGGGTCACCTTGCTAAAGCGCGAATGCAAGGCCAGCCGACCCTCCTGATACCCCTTCTGCTAGAGTGGAGCCCAGGGAAGGTGCAGACTTGGTCCTACGCTTGCCTGACTCCCAAGCTGCCTCCTGGCCCTCAGATCCTGGGTGTTCAGTGAATGGTGCGGGTGAGCGAACGGAGGCTGCCACGTTCATGCAGCCTCTAGGAGGGCCAGAGTCACGGTAAGATGTAAGGGCGCTTCGCAAACTGCGGCTTCAGAACCCACAGAGGGAGGACTCGACCGGAGGCTGCGCTGGGCCCGACCCCAGACCCAGAGAATCCCACTCCAGCAACTTAAGATTTTAAACAAGTGCTGCAGGCTGTGTCGGACGCACAGCCAGGCGTGTGCACCTGAATGCAGGGTTTCAGAGATGAATCTCTATCTGGAGCAATTACGGGCAGGCCCCCGGGGAACAGAGAAGGAGGTGGCACGTGTTGGAACTGTCAGTGGGCTCCAGAGGCGAGGCACTTGTTCACCGCGCTGGTCCCGGCGCGCGGCAAACGCCCGGCGCCCGACACGGACTCGCCCAGCGCACGAGAAACTGCTCGGCTTCGCGCTCCCTTCCCGCCCTCGTCCTCGCCCCGCGGAGGCGTCCGCGCACGCGCGATCGCCCCCACCGGCCTCCGCGGCATAGCCACCGCCCCCTCGCGGCCAGCGCGCAGGCGCGGGGCAGGGCGCCGCGGTGACTTCACTCCGCGCCCGACTCCGCCCCGGGCGGTGTCGCGCACTGATGGCGTCGCCATGGAGCCGACTGCGGGTGAGGCCCTCCCCCAGCCCCGGGGCGCGCGCGGGACCGCGGACGGGCAGCGCCGGGGGGCCCCCGGCGGGGCCGGCGCGGAGGGCCCCCGGAAGGGTTCTGCTGGGGGCCCACGGAAGGATGCCCAGTCCTGTGGGTGCCGTAAAGTGGGGAAAAGAAGATTGAGGGTTACCTGCAGGGCGAGGGGGTGGTGCCTGCGCCCCGCGCCAGTCGTCACCCCCGCCGTGAGGTCCGCCCTCCCGCAGCACCCCTGCTTTAACGGCCGGGATACCCAGGCTCGCAGCTGGTGGCAGGGGCGGTGCTGGAAACCAATTTAACCTCAAGGCCATGGTGCTTAATCACTGTGCTCGTAGCAGGTGCTTTCCGAGGCCTCGACTGTGCCAGGCCTGGTCCTGGGCACTGGGGAGCCTCACTCCAGAGCCCCTGGGCTTTAGGAGTCCGCCCTCTGGTGTTGGCGATTGATAGCAGGATGGTGAGCCAGGGTCTCTCAAAGCCACGTCCCACGACCGGGAGTACATGCACTCCTGCCCTTACTACACGTGCAACATGTGAACAGGTGCAGATAATTCAGTGGGAGGATAGTACAGACCATTGGAGATGCCCGCCAAGTGCCAGGGCTGGGCTCAGAGCTGGAGGTGGAAGGGTGCGGGAGACCCAAACTGACCTGACCAGGCCTGCCGCCTGTTGAGTGTACAGGCAAGTAGAGAGCAGAGTTCAGGCACTTCACACATTAATATATGTCGCCTTTTATTATCCTAATCATTTCCCACGTTTTCGTGACTTTCCAAGGGCAAGGGCCTGCCCTTTCCTTTCATTCTCCTTTCCCCTTCCAGTCAGCCCATTGCTGTCCAAATGACACTCAACTGTTGGTGACTAAACGACCCTCCAGAGCAAGGGCCACAATTTCTACATTCCTTGTGTACCCCACAGTATCCTACACAGCGTTAGGCTATTGTAGGGCCTCTGGATTAGTGAAAATGATAAATGTAACAACCTTATAGTTGTGTCAGTACAGTTTGTGTTTGGAAAAGCCAAGCAAACAGTGAAGGTGCTCTGAGTTCCTAAAGAAGGGACATTTGCTTGCAACCGAGCACTGAGAGAATGCTTCCTGGGGCTGTGGCAGACAGCTAGACCTGCAGGGTGAGGAGCGGAGCTACCCCAGCCCGAGAAAGAGAGAGGTGGGCAGGTGTGTGGGCCACAGACCAACAGTGGTTGAGCCACTTTTTTTGAATCTGAAGTGAGGATTGATGGGAGAGGAAGCAGAAGGGGCCAGCACGCCTTCGCAGGCAGGAGCTTTGCTTTCGCATTGTTGCCACATGCTTTGACAGAGGGTTCCCCAGGGCACTGGGGCAGAGTGGAAGGGAGACTTCCTGGAGGTGGTGCTGAAGTTAGGCCTCAGAGAGTGAGGGTTTGCTGGAGAACAGGGAGCTGAGCAGACTTTCCTGCAGAGACCCCCAAGGGCAGAGTTCCCAGAAGGAAGGAAGGGGCCGAGTGCTGGAAATGGCCTGGGTGGCCTTACCCTGGCTGCCAGTGGTGGAATCTCAGCCTGCATCTTCAGAGATGTGTATTTCCTGAGCACACCCAAATCCGTAGCTCTGATTTCTAGACTGGTTAGAAGTACAGCTAGGGTCTGGAGGCACCAGTAGTGTTTTCAGTGGGCTCCAGGAGGCTTCGGGACCTGACTGTCAAGGGCCGTGTCTGCAGACTGTGCCAAGGAGATCCGGGTTTAGCCTGAGGGATAAGCAGTGGAAACCTCTAGTGGTGGCCCTTAGACCTACGTGAAGAGGGTTAACAAACTTGACATAAGATGGGGAAGGTAGAGGTGAGGAAGCAGACAGCAGTAACAAAAGGCGGAAGCCACCCGTTGCCCATAACTAGTGGACTGTGTGAATAGATGCTGACCTATCCCTGGAGTGGAATGCTATGCGACTGCAAAAAAAGGATGAGGGCGCTTTTATATAGCACAGGGACCAATCTTCAAGATGATAGCACGTGTGGACAAGGGAAGGGGCTCCTGTGGAGCCTGGGACATCAGGGCAGATTCCCCAGAAGACGCAGGTGCCCCAACAGCCTCGGGAGGGACCTGGTTTACTTGCGGACAGCAAGGCGGGCGACTTCGTTATATACCCTTGTATGTGTTAAAAAGCCAGTTACAAAAAATTAAGTTTTTAGAATGTAATTGATCCACATGATTCAGAGCCACACAATTTAGGAGTGTTTACAGTGAGAGGCCAGCCGCCGGCCCCATCCCGCCGCCGATGCAGGTGGCTCCCGACTCCCTCTGGCCGTGGCCTGGTGCCGGCTTTGGAGCAGGCTGCGCTCAAAGGGAGACCTCGGGCCTCAGAAGAGAAACCTGCCCCTCCTTGCTGCCCAAGGGGTGAGAGGTGCCCGGCCGCACACATGGGGCGCAGAACCTCACGCCAGCAGTCTGGGTGTGTTTAGTTATGGTGAACGCCACGTCAGCTCTCTGAAAAAAATAGCTGACTTTCTGCCGCAGCTTCAGAGATGCATGTTCCCCAAGCGCCAGGCGGGCGTAGCCCTGGGGGGCTTTGGGGGAGCAGCAGTCCTTCTCGGGAGTCATGTTTTGGCCCTGGATCTACTCCCAGGTCGGTGGGGAGAGTGTATCGGTGAGTGAGAGGACCCGGTGAAGTTCCTTGCCCCCCTCCGCCCCCAGTTCACAGCACTGGCCATACGATACTTAGGAAAACAAACCAAGTGGTAGATTTCAAAGTGACTTGAAGAAACATACTCTGTACGAAGATATCCTTTTGGACTGTGCAAAACAAAAGTTAAGTGAATGTTTTGAGCTGTGTCTACATGAATGTGCTGGGATATGTTTTTCTACCCAACTGGCAATGGCTTTTTATATTTCCCCACTCCAACAGGAGCCCCTGGCTAATGAAAATTTTCTTAGGGTTGCTCCAACCAAATAGTTGGAGAATGTCTGTTGCCTAAAAATGCATTTCCAAAGCTGGATGTAGAATACAATTCCCACACTACTAACAGGATTGTGGTCGGTAATCCAGAGTAATGGCTGCCTTACACATGTGTCACTCAGGCTAAAGGCCAGCTTTCTGCATTTGCAGCAGGAATGAATGGGCAGCTCTGACAAGACTGAATAAACTGAGTGTTCAGTTGCAGTGTTTTGACTGGTCAGAACATGGCTCTCTCTGCGAGGACTCCAGAAAGGCTTAGTTTCATGCTGCGGGTAGCACTGTGTTCTCTGACCGCTCGCTACACATTAGTAGGACGAGGCTGAACACTGGGTAGTGCTGATTGACCCTTTCTGGACTTCATCGGTTTGTTGTGAGTGTAACACCACTAACCCTGATATTTCAATGTAGAGGCCAGAAGCCCCAGGTACTGGTCTGGGGCGGCGCTGGGGCTGGGCCTGTGCGCACTGTGGGCTTCCTTTCTGCTGTATTAATGAAACACGTTGTTGCAACAGGTGTTTCGAAGCAGGACATTCGTGAACAGATCTGGGACTGCATGGAGTCGCAGAATTTAGCCGATTTTCCACGGCCTGTTCATCATAGGATTCCCAACTTCAAGGTATGGACGCCTTCCTAGAGCACTCGGAGAAAACGAGGATACTCCCAAAGGAACAGCCCCGGGGAGGCGGGTACACTTGCTCCCCTAGGTCCGAGTTGGTGGAGCAGTGAGCAGGGTGTGCCGTGCAGCCACCTGGCAGGGCGGCCCCACCGTGGCACTCAGCCCTCGCTCGCCAGCGGCTCCCGCCTTGCCGTCGGGGGAGGGCGGGGACGTGTGACCCGCTGCGCGGGGGCGGGAGGCGTGTTTGCCGCCTGACCGGGAGGGAAGCACTCATCCCGTGGGGCGCGTGTTGCGGTCCTGCCTTTTTTCGGCATTGGCTCCGAAGGGCCGCGGGCGGGGACGCGCTCTGAGAGGGGTGCCTGCCCCCAGCACCTTTGCACAGAGGCCTTGCGGGTCTCCGGTGACTCCGGGCCTCAGTTTCCCGACTGTTCAGAATAGAAGGCAAAGATGTCTGTTTATGATAGTAGGAATAGAAGAAGGTTTGCCTGAAAGAGCCGACAGACATGGCTTATAATCTGCGGTCTCCATGTTTTCCACAAGAAAAAGACAGCGCTCCTTGAAAATAATTGCTCTGCGGGGCCCCAGGGACGTGGCCTGTCCGCCTGCTGTCCCCCAGTCTGGCTGGGCTTTGCCCACGCCCGGCGTCTCGGCAGCAGGCTCCGGCTCTCTTCTGGGCCTCGGCTGAGCTACTTCCTGTCCCGTCGAAAGACGTTCGTTTGTGTGGCTTCTGTTACTCCTTTGTCCTGGGCTCTGCGTTCGGGCTTCCCACCCCCGGGGGGATGTACGGCAAGTGCAGGGGAAGAGGGCTGCCCAGAATCAGCGAGAACACCCCCATGTGGAGCCTCCTGGGAGGGGGCTGGGCTTCGGGGCCGTGGACGGGCGCTCTTCCCAGGTCTAGGTGGGGGCACAGGTGCGCCCGTTTTGTTTTGAAAATTCAGAGAATGCACATAGATCTGTACACTTTTTGGAATGTGTATGTTATTCGGCAAGAGACAAATTAGGGTGAGCTGGCTTTCTCAGCCCCTTTCCGCCCTGACAGCTTTCTCAGACGCTTCTTTGGGTGGCTTCTGGCGCTCATCTCAGGCTTAGCCTCCTCCCTGCCTGTTGGATAAGATGCCGGAGCAGAGGGCCCGGGGCTGCATTGGTCCCTTAGTAACGTGCAGTTGCATTAAAAACAGGGTGCTTCTCGTGCCGCCGAGCGTTTCCCGTGTCTGCAGGAGTTCCAAGTAGCCAGAACCATTAAAGTCAATCCCGACGCGCCCCAGAAAAATGCTCGCTTCCTCGTCCTTGACGTAAGTGCAACCCTGTCTGTTTGCCTAACTAGGGCTCTTACCTGGCTTGCCAAAACGTCAAAGACCTAGAAGTTTTTGCCAGAACGCAGGAAGTCAAAGTGGACCCTGATAAACCACTGGAAGGCGCCCGGCTGCTGGCACTGCAGGTAATCCTGTTTCCCTGAGCCAGAGCTCTGGCCCCTGACGGGAGCACGTTCCCGCCTGGCTGGGCAGTGTGTGCATCTTATATGGGGGGCGTGGAGCTTCTGATCCCTCCAACCTAGAACATCCCTGCCGAGTGGTTTTCTCCAGGAGCTTCGGGTGTCTGTCAGTTGTTCGCTAGCCAGAGTCCTGAATGTTTCTAAATTCAAAGCTAAAGGATATTTGAAATGATGACACTGAGGCAGTCAGTTCTGATGTGCTTCCTCAGGGGAGAAAGATTACATTATATATGTCTATTTCCCTGTGCTACATTTATAATATTAGAATTCTTTGAAACTTGGTAACCCACGAGGAGGAAATCTGATAGAGTCCCCAAAACATGAATCAGAACAGCACTTCTTGTCTTAAAGCTATAGGCCCCTTTTCAAGGAAGGTAAATTCCCCCAGGTTGCTTTAAATTAATTTCTTGTAATTTAGTATGTATAAACATACAATTTGGTAAGAAATATGAATGCTCATAGTTCTTATGCAGTCATAAAACCAAAATAAACATATAAATGCAACCGTATGAAAGAAATGACATTCAAATAACAGCATCACTTTAACATAATGGCTGATGTTCTGCTGAAACAAGGCATTGCTGGTGCTGGGGTCATGCCGTTGAAAGTGGCAGTGCACATGGGACAGCGGAGTGCTCACTGGTACTTCACATCCAGGGGAATCATCAGCCGAGCCCTGAGAGCCTGCTGTGTTCCGGGCTCTGTGCCGGGCGCAGGGATGCGGTGCTGAAGAGAGACACAAACGCCTGTGTGGCCCCTGTGCTCTGTGGCTCTAGGCTCCTCAGTAGTTTCTGGCAACTTCAGTGGGTCAGGAGTCACCTGGGAAGCAGGAAAGCCTGCAGGCTCCTCAGCCCCGCTGAATGCAGGCAGGAATGGTGGCACATGGCTGTGGGCACAGCGGGGCACATCTGGGCACAGCGGCCTATAGCCTCCCAGGCTAGACTCTAGGGTCTCTGCTTTCCCTACACTCCTGAGGGTGCTTTGAGAACTTCCGGCCCGGGCAGCATTTGCCAGCTGGGCTGCACGTTAGCACCGCACCCCCACCCTGCCCGGGGCTGAAGACTCTTCCAGTGTCAGCTTCTGGCTCAGAGGCCCAGAGGTCTGGACCTTGGTAAGGAAAGTTCTCCAGGTGCTTCTGAAGGACAACTAGGGTTGAGGACCACCTAGCAAAGGGACGAGCAGCTTCCGGAAAAGGGAGTAACCGGAATCTAGGGACTGCAAATGAAATGAACCTAAACCTCTTTGACACTCAGAAGGAAGGGAGCCCATGGTCATTGCTCGTGTTGAAATACTCTTCTCTTGGGGTTAAAAAAAAAACCTATGTTTAAGTAAGCCAGCCTGTGATTTTATAGGTATTTTATGGATCTCAGGCTGTCATCTCTTACTCAAAATCTAAAATATATTATTTTTTTATCCAAAAGTCATAAATGTTATGGTTGCCTCATGGCCTACTCCTGCATAATTTCCAGAGATGCCCTTGGACAGTGTTCTGAAACTTTCCTGTGCATCAGACTCACCTGGTGGGTTGAAGCAGGTTGCTGTGCCCAGTGCCCAGGACCTCGTCATTTAAAAAAAAACCAAGGGAATAAAGAAAAAAAAGAAAGGGACCCCCGCTTTGAGAACCCCTTAGGGGCTCACAGGAAGGCATTTTGAGGGCTAAAATATTGGTTATAACGAGTACTGATCTGTTAGACTGCAAACTAGATCAAGTGCCTGGTGGAATGTCGTTTGTACGCAGCTGTGTGATGCCCGTGCAGATTAAAGCATTTTCCTAACTGTGGAGTCTGTAATGCTGAGAACAGAGGGTGCTGGAGCATTCTGGTTGGAATTCTTGCAAGAACAGATCTTCGTGTGGATTGGCACAGGTTTTTTTTTTACCTGTAACCATGTTGAACGGCAAGTCAGGTAGAATATTTGAGTTTTACCCTAAGGCTGGGTAGGGTAGTGTACCTACCCAGTAAAAGTAAAATTGATCCCCACATACTGCTGGGTTTGCAAACAGGTCATTTCCTTGGCACACACCAAAAAATGCAGAAAACAGCAACTTGCTTCCCTTCCTGAAATGTCAAAAGCATCCACAAGGAAGTTCCTATGTTTAATTTTATAACTTTCTGATTGTCTTTCTTTTAAAAGAGCAAAAAAACGTTGTTGGTTCCAACACCACGACTGAGAACGGGGCTATTTAACAAGATCACGCCGCCCCCTGGGGCCACCAAAGACATCTTGAGAAAATGTGCCACCTCCCAGGTAAGTGGGGCAGGCAGCATCTCCTGTCCCCGCAGGGAAAGAGCTGTTCTCAGCTGGGACCTCAGGTGAGTAAGAAGAATGTGTCATACCCGCAGCTGGAATTTACTTTTAACAAAGCCAAATGTATGGAGGTGTTAAGTATTCAGCAATCTTGTCATTAGCGGGCCAAGTAGAAAAACTGGGAAAACACGTATTCTATGTGTGAAACTTGATTTGTTTTCTACCAAGTTGGCAAATTGTTAATTCCCTGTTGAAAAAAAAAAAAGGGAAACAAGTTACATGGTTCTCCGGCGCCTTCTAGTGTGGACATGTGATGTCCAGCACCCTACAGCTTTTTCTCACACGCCACCAGAGCAACTGGGGACACAGGTTGGAACTTCCAAAGTATGTTCAGTTGGAAATTGCCTTATTGGTTCTAAAATAACAATGGCTTTAGTAACTTAGTAACAGGATTCTCTTGACTGCTTCACGAGGTATAGAACCAAAGTGTGTAAGTACCCATCAGGGTGCCTTATAATGGGATTTGTCTTGTATTTTACAGATTAAGAAATAAAATTTGGTGACTTTTTCAGAGTCCTAGAGACTCAAATAAGAATAAGAATAAGAAATAGGGCATCAATATACTCCTATTTGAAAGGGATTTTTTTCCACTCAAGTCTAATACATAAAAATTGAATGCTTTATTGTCATTTGTTGATAACCTGACCTGTTCCAAAAATAGAATGTGATATGGCTTATAAAGTATATGTATAGTAAAGTAAAATAATACAATATGTGTAGGAAAAAGAGCAAAGGGAGAGTAAAGGCAGAAAAATGAGAGACAGTTATGATTCTGGTCAGTGCTCAGACATGCAAACCATGCGATCCTCTGCAGCTGGCAGGTGCGGACCCAGATGCGAGCCCACTTTTCCTAGAGCTGGCAGGGCATGTCAGCAGCTAACAGCTGTCAGTCATAGGTTCCAGACAGCAAGAGCGTCCTTTCACTGGGGTTGGGGTCCGGGGCACGTGTGTCCGAGGGGTCATCATGGGGTCATGTAGTGCTGCTGTGGTGCGCTATCAGCCTCCACGGTGTCCTGCCCCCTCTGAAAGGTGACCGTCACCCTGCTCGTTGCCAGAGCTCCCCGTGAAGCAGGCACTGGCAGTCCCTTGTGTGCATTCCTGAAGTATGGTGGGCCCAGGGTGAAGCCAGACCAGCGCCCGTGACCGGACTTCCATCAGGATTCAGTGGCAGAGTTTGGCCTTTTTTATAACATGAGGTACTGGATTGAAACCAGAGATTCAAAGCCATGAACCTCCAAAAGATTTTGCTTTTCTTTGCGGCAGGAGAAATGGTAGAGTGGAGGGAGACTCCAGGCTGCACCTGTGTGCAGGTGCACATTTCAGTGAGCCAGTGACTTCGGTGGCCAGCTCTGTGGCAGAGGGGATGCCATCCTGCAGGCCTGCTCTGGGAGTGGCTGGTGTGGCCTTTCTCTTTGCAGATGAGGCTCTGGGTCTGCCCCTCTCTGCTCTGTCACCTCTGCCTGTGGTTGGTGTAGATGTGTCCTGGTGACCACTTCTGGGCAGGCGAAAGGCTTTGTTAACTGCATCATAAGGCCTTCTGCCCACCTGGTGACTGTTTTTGTTGAATCAAGCATGCTTTGGAGCATTGGGGACCCCAGTTGCTCTGGGTGGCCCGGGCAGGGGGCTGGCCAAGCGAGGGAAGAGGCAGTCTGACAGGCACAATTGCACCCAGGCGTCTGCCCGCCAGGGCCGCGAGGCACTGAGCCCATTATAAGGGTGAAGGATGCGAGCCGTGGACACAAGACGCCTGCTTCCACGGTCACTGTGTGGCAAGGAAAGTGCTTTACTGCAGCAGGGCGCCCATGGGCCAGCGACTGAGGTTTGACGGCTGGGAGGCGGCAGGCTGATCACACGTCCTGGTCCTGTAAGTGACTGGTCACATGCAGACAGGCCCAGTGCCACATCCAGGGATCTGGTCCTGCCGGTGCTGTTCCGTGCCATGACCGAATCTAGCTCTCTCGATGATCTGTAGCCCTTGTTGTCTGAGAATCGTGGCCCTGTCGGCCTCCCTGCCATTAACGACTGGCCTCCATTAGTTCGTACAGGTGGGTGTACCTTTGGGGCGTTTGGTCAAATAAGTAAAATGTCCGAAGTGGGTGTTCTGATAATGGCCTCCAGTGTTTCATGTTGAATTAGTGTCACACATGTTTCCCAACCATGTCTTACCTGCTGCCTCTTTTCATTCTAACACCAGTCCCAGGAGGCAGGGGCTGGTGTCCCTGTCTCACAGATGAAGAAACGAGCTCAGAGGGTTTCGCCTGCTGAGGTCACAGGGCTTGGGTGGGATCCCAGTTCCATGTGACCCCTGCGCCTGTGTTCCAACCACCATGCTCTTCTGCCTTGTGGGAAAAAATTACTTGCTACATATTATGAAATTAATATCCTGTTCATTTGTGCTGTCATTTCCTTCTGGCATCTTTCCTGAGGAAGAAACTGTGGGAAATTATCCTAAAATGGCTTCAGAGCCATGGTTTTCCTGAAACGCCACTCCCGCAGTAGGGCTGCGGGTGCGTCTGCCTCATCAGGACGGGACTCGGCCTCAGAGTGCTCCCTGCCCCTGGGTGAGGAGGTGGGCCGGCCGCTCGCTGGCGGCGGCTCTCAGGGCGCGCGTCTGTCTGCAGGGCGTGAGGGACTACAGCGTTCCCGTAGGCTTGGAGTCCCGGCTCCACGTGGACCTGCTCGTGGTGGGGTCTGTCGCCGTTTCTGAAAAAGGTAAGATCAAAGACAGGAACTCTGGGCCGCGGCCTGCAGCTGGACCCCCTGCCGGCTCTGTTCATCCCGGAGATGCTGACGGTAAGTGACTCCGATTCACTGCCTGCCCGCCCTCTGCAACCGCGGTGTCTGCCATTCATTTTGAAGAATCAGCTCACTTCCTCGCACTCCCAGTCCCGCTCAACCCCTTCATTTTCACTTTTCTTAACAGGAAAAATAAAGCGAGGTAGTCTCTCTTCAGGTGATGAAAGGTTTTCCCTCCGTTCTTGAGTAACTGGAGCCGCAGTGTGTAGGACGGCAGTAAATAGCTGGTTCGAGGGGTCTCCAGTAGATGGGGGACGTCGGCTCTAGAGCTGGCCTTGCTAGGAAGCAGCAGCTTGCTGGACGACGTGGGTGCCCGAGCCTGCCTGGCGCTGTGCTGTGCTAGCAGGAGAGCGGGCTGGGGCCGCCGCGCCACCCAGGGCCCCTCCCCGCTCCACGCTGCTCCCTGGCTCGGCTGGGTGCTCTGACAGCGGGCAGTGGCTCCAGGGCGTCATCCCTGCCCAGACCTGTGCTTGTGCTTGTGCTTTGGGCCGCCTGCTAGGAAAGCCCTGGCTTCCTTTCCTTCCAAGAAGCTCATTCCCCAAACTCTCCCTTTGAAAGCTAATTAGCCAAAGCCAGGTCTTTCAAGAGAGCCTTCCAGGAAGTGTGAGAGATGCTGTGGGCCCAGAGCACTGTTTTACCTGTTGACCTTTACTGTCCTCACTGAAATTTGCTCTTCCTCCCCAGCTTTTGCTCTGAGCTACTATGTATTCGTTGCCCTCTGTGTGTCCCCTTACAGAGGCTTCATCTGTCATCAGGGACGGGTGCACGCGAGCTGCCTTGCCTGGGCCTGGCACCAGCCCTTGGGCCCCGGTGAGGGGAGGAGCAGACACGCCAGCTCGGGGCGGGCTTTGGGAGGAGGAGCAGGGTGTTCGCGGCATGGCCCGTCGGTGCTTGGTGCTGGCTCTCCAGGCCAGGTGACGGGATTTGGGCCATGGTCTCGGCAGTGGGAAATGAGCAAAAACTTCTTGTGAAAGATCATCAGTCTTCATTTTTAGCCCACGATGTGTGAAGGGAACAGGTGGCCCACTGCCGGACCGCCCACCGTCATCCCCAATACTGTGTGCCTCGTGCCTCTCCCAGCCCTGATTGACAACTGGAAGTATCAGACTGTAATTTTTACCTGATAGTGAACAGTGGTATTTTTTTTTGCCTTTTGATTTGCACTTGGATGAGGGAGATCATTGCTGACGTTTGCTTTTACCTGCTTGCCTCCGCCTGTGGGCCGCCCTGCCCGTTGCTAGTTCTGTTGAATCGTCCTTCTTGCCGCTTTGTATGGTTGACGGCCTTCACTGTGGAGGCAGCACGATCGCGTGTGAATCTTAGGAAGATGCACGGACAGCGATGCTTACTTGCGTGATGATGCCGCTGACGCAAGTCAGACAGAAGGGGAAGCCGCGGCCGGGTCACGGGCTCCCCCTGAACAGGGTCCGCGGGCTCACGCCAGGGGCCGCGGCATCTCGTGTGCTGCCCCCCTGGCCCCTCCCCCCCGCGCCGCTCCTCCTCCTGCCCCGTGCGGTCTGCCTGCTGTGTCGCCATCCATGAACCTGCAGAGTAATGAGCTTGGGCAGCTGCCACCGTCCCTCCTTCCGCAGATGGAAAGACCACTGGGGGCAGAACTGGGGGACCATTCAGCGCTTCTTAGAAGACAAGGCTGTGCCATCTTACCTCACGTATCCCCCGTGGAGGTTTTATTTTTCCCTCCAAGGGAAACAGATGAAAACAATTTTGTTTTTAGTAGGAATCCGTTCTTAGTTTTTTAAAAACTACTCTTTCCTTACTTTTTAATGTGCGTCCTGCTCACACAGAGCTCGGTTTCCTCTTGTAACATGTTTAAAAGGTTTGCGGCTCGGTCCGCTGTGTGTCAGCACTATACGTGCGCAGTGTTGCTGACTCTGAGCCCCTGTGGGTGACTGTGGGCCTCCCTGTGGGAGGCCAGGGGGATAGGATCCGAGTTTCTCCTTAGACTAGGACCTCCTGAAAATGTTACCCTGGGTGATTCCCCGGCCCCCACAGAGATGGTGGTTCTCTTTATTGTTTCTTAGGCTGGAGAATTGGGAAGGGAGAAGGTTATGCTGATCTTGAATATGCCATGATGGTGTCAATGGGAGCGGTCAGCCAGGGGACGCCAGTGGTCACCATTGTCCATGACTGCCAGGTGCTTCCTGTGAACGGGTGGCAGAGCCACTGGCACACCCCTCTGAGAGGGCGCAGGGGAGGGAGATGCGGGGAGAGGGGGAGGCAGACGAGTGCCTTCACCCCGCACGGTGTCACGAGCGGGTTCGTTGAGTGGCATGGCAGGGAGGCCTCACCCCGGTGGGTTTGGGTCTGAGCGGTGCCAGGAGCGTGGCTGGAGCTGGGTCCCTGTCGGCCTCTTCACCCACTTCTGCTGGACCAGGTCATCGACATCCCGGAAGCACTCCTTGAGGATCACGACCTCACCGTGGACTATATCCTCACTCCAACGAGGGTCATCACCACGGGGTGTGAGCGCCCAAAGCCAGCGGGAATCACGTGGTCCAAGGTGGGTCACCACGTGGCACCGAGGGCCAGTGCTGGCCTGTAATTTTAAAGTATCTCTTTACGTGTGTTGTCTGGCATGGCTGCAGGGCCCAGACCCAGCGTGGCTGTATGTCAGAACCACCATGAGCTTCTGAACAGCGCAGCTCCTGAATCCCAGCCTCCGGGCGCGGGCTTGAGAATCAGCTTTGCAAACCTGTGGGATTCCGACAAGCAGCCAAGTTCAGGTCCCCTGCTGTCCAACACCTCACTGTAGATGGCACGGGGGACCAAGTCTAGGAGGGCTCGGGCCTGGAGTCTCTGTCGGCCAGCTGGCTCCCGTCCTGAGCGTGTGCTCTGCCACCCAGCTGCGCCGCCGGAGCAGGATCCCCGGGCAGGACTGAGGCGAGCAGCAGTTGCCCCCGGAGCCTTCAGAGGCTGATGCCTGAGCGGCTCTCCCTCCACGGCTGGCAGTGGCTTGTTTGTCCGCAGTAGGAGTCCAACCCCAGGGGTCCTTGTAGGCAGACAGCCGGAATTCCTGAGAAAACAGGGACAAGATGTAGTTGGTTTGGGGTGAACCTGTCGGCCAAGGCAGCATGTTTGTCCCCGTCTCCTGTTTTCTATGCCCGAACATCCAGCGTCGGAAGCAGCCCCACTCCCAGGAGCACTGAGCCCTCCGGCAGCCCAGTGGGCCTTTCCCGGCCAAAGCCTCCGCTGCGCGGCGTCTGGGCCGCCCAGGGCCTGCGCCCGCTCCGGGAGAGCCCCCGATAAGAGTGGAGGGCATGTGTGACCGGGAGTGGTGGGTGGGGCCCCCGAGCGCACCCCGAGCTCTGGGGAGAAGGCAGTGGCACCTTGCATGAATGTTACAATGTCCCTTGGTGTCTTTTCCTATGAATTTGGGTTCGCCTCAGAGTTTTGGGTCCACGTTTTCTTCCTAAGTGAGGCTGACACACAGGTCACAGGAGCAGGGTGGCCTTGCTCAGAGCTGAGATCACACGTGTGGGTGTGGGGGGTCACTTGGGGTGGCTGGCCACAGAGACGTGCAGGACTCAGGGGGCCACCTGCAGTGCACATTAGGAGCGCCTGGGAGGCCTCTCTGGGCAGAGAGGTGTTGTTCTGGGTAACAGCCATGGTTACATTCTGCGGATTTTAACAGGAAAACTATAAAAATAGCAACAAGTCAGGCTGTCAGGCATGTTAGATGAATGTAATCCCTCTTACACAAATCAAGACCAAACAAAGTTTCCTGAGACAGGTCCGTCTCTTTGCGTGCAGGCCCGGGGCCCGTATAGCTTGTTGAGACCTCCCCTTCTCCCCGTCTTCCTGGAAGGTGCTGGTCATTGATGAGGCCTTGGAAGCATCTCACACTTGTAAAAGGTCATTTCTTGGTCTGGGGTCCTGCGTTCTCAGTTCTGCTGCCCACGGTCATCTCTGCACGGGTCACGTATCGCAACGCAGCCTGTATCGTTGCTGTTTTGGCCATGCGACGGGTGCAGCCAGAGAGGATTGTTATTGGTGCTGGGATAAAGCGCCTAAATTCCACTGAAGATTTGAGGAGGGGCTGGGGGGAGTTCAGTGCTGGGCGATGACAGTATTTCAGACAGACTGTGTGGCACCCCTGGTGTATCCTTCCATGACAGCCTCCCCAGAGACTCAGTATCATCTGGGTGTCAGAATCCAAGAATGTGTTCTTGTATATTGCAAAACCCGGAATCACAGTTTTCTTCTCAAAACCACACACCCCTGGGATGAAGGTCATGAAATGTGTACAAAATGGGACACACTTTTTCACTTGTTCTTTATACACAAAGGCTAGGCAGCATTTGATTCCCTGGCCTTTGTCCCAACTTCCATGAAATGTGAACCCTCCCCCAGCCTCTGGACCAGTCTGATGGGGACCCTGTTGTGTGACTGCAGCTGCTCTGAGGGGGGGCCTCCTTGCCCCACCCTCTGGGACCACATGGGCCTCCCTACCCCGCAGGACAGATAGCTGGTGGTGCAGGGCCTGAGTGGGGAAGCAGTAATGGTGCCGCCTAGTTGCTCTGTCTGTGACCTTGACACACGCTCCCCAGGCCCCCCGCTTGCTTATCCTGAGTGGGGTCCTGTCGGCAGTGTGTGGGAGCCTCAGGCATGAGCCTGCTGAGCCAGGGCCACCATCCCCTGTGTGGCTGTCATAGAGCGACGTGGTCATAACTGCGAGCAGTCTGGCAGAACCTTGTCACGGTCCGTGGCTTGCTGAGCAAGGCTGGTTCTCACCCATGCCTCCCCACAGCTGCGTGCTGTCACTGTGCCCTCCACTGCCTCTCACTGAGGGAGATGGAGACATTCTCTCTTCCCTTCTGCCTTCAGGAAGGTGCATCTGCTCTGGGCGCAGGGGAACCATCTGTCTCCTAGGTGGTCTCCTGGCCCGGTGACCTGGAGAAGTAGGGAGACTTGGCCGCGTCCCCACCAGGAGGGATGGCCACTGCTCCACCTCCTCATAAGCCCCCCTCCTGAGAACCCAGAGCTCCCCGGACGCCTGGTCTACCAGGCTGGAGACGTGGCCATTGGGATGGGGGCGTGGTCCTGAACCCCCAGGCAGTTCTTCCAGCTCAGGTGGCCTTTGGTTTCTGGGACAGTGATCTGGATGTCCCTACCTGTACAAGACGATGTGCGACGGGCCGAGGGCCATCTACCCGGCCACCTTTGCTCCAGCCTGAGGGCCTGGAGGGCGGCCCCCCTGCAGCCTAGTCAGCTCCCTGGGCCAGTGTCGTCCGGTGACTCACAGCAGAGCAGTAGGACGCTGTGCTCAGGAGCATGGCCACCCACCAGACCCAGGTGAGCACCTCGAAAGCGGCGGCAGGGCAGCCCTCTGCGGGCGAGGCTCGGGCCGGCCTCATGCAGCCCAGCTCACCCCGCACAGCCCGGCGTGGGGCCCCCGGCCGGCCAGGCCCTGCAGGTTTTATTTTCTGCCGAGCAAGAATGGAGCTGAGGGAGGGAGGAAGACCCACTTGAAGAAAAGCCCGGAGACGTGGTCCAACAGCAGGCGTGTGTCAGCTCCAGAGAACAGCCTCCCTGGGCACCCGGGAGGCCGCCCCTGGCCGCCAGCGCCGCAGATCAAAGGACCACCTCCCACGCTGCCCACAGTAGCTGCCCGAAAGGAGTTGTCGCTGGTACAGGCAGAGTGTGACGCCAGTCGCCTTACCTAGGCGTCTGACTTTCCCAAGGCAGCTCATTTTCTCAATTAAGGAAATCAGATTCTGCCAGCGTCATTCTGTGTTTAGCCTCAAAGAATCCGGTGATTCTGTAGCTTCACAGTTGGCCCGTTTGGGAGGGTTGTGCTCAGGGTCGCAGCTTGCTGACTGACTTCTGGAGAATGGCAGGCTCAGGATTTGGGAGAAGGGCCTTCTGTGAGCGCAGAGTCCGGGGACACGGAGGCTCGATTTCAGATCCCGTGCGGACATTGGTTCTGTGGAAATAACAGCTAAATGTGAGCTGACACCTGCCTGCAACTGGGCCAGTAAGTTAAGAGGATTGATGGATGCTTTTATTTAAAAAGGATTACTGTACCTGCCCCAATAATCCACCTTCTAGGAATGTGTCCTCAAGAAATGTATAGCAACGCAGAGATCTGTGTGTGGTCACTCCCAGGAGAACCGTCTCCCCGACACTGGGACATGGTCTGTTCGGTGACGGGGTGTGGCCACCGCCTGCTTGGCCTTTAGGACACACGGCAGGAGTGTGATGATAAAGGGGTGACCCTGTGGAGCCTTTTCCTGTCGACATCTTTGCTCCACTTCTGGCAGAAGGATGTCTAAAGCGAGCCGTGTTGCAGTTCGGAGGCAAGGCAGGTAGAGCGGGTGGCGGCTCCCAGGCACGACCGACGTCGGGGAGGCGACACGTTCCTCGGCGTTCCTGCCCCCGCCGCCCCTGCACGCTTCCTCTGTGGGATCGTCTCATCCCCGTTATCGGAAGTATCTGGAAGCTTACCATCACTTACCATCAGTGAATGGTAAGGGCCAGACTCATGCAAGAGAACGAGTAATTTTTGTGGAAATCGTTATTTCACATTCGAAGTATTTCCGGGGTTCCTCTTTGCTAGCAGCTGCTTGAACATGTCCTCACGTTCTAGAATGAGAGGGATTTTAGGGATCATTCCTCTCACTGTCCTTATTTTCTGGTCAAGTACAGTGAGAGCCAGAAAGAAGAGCAGCTTAACCCCTGATTGTAAAACTGGTTGAGTGGGCGAGGTAAGGTCAGAACCAGTCTCTTCTTTTTGGGTTGGCAAGGGATGCCTGAGAGAGTTCTGATTTGTATTGAGCTTAGCATAGGTATTTCTAGGGGACCGGTTTTTTAATTTAATCTTTAATGAGAATAACGTATTTGTAAATGACTGACGTCCGTATGCTTTAGTGAAGAGTGGTTGTAGCATATAAAAGAAAATCAAATTTGCTTTATACTATTTTTTAATGGAGTGCTTAGTTACAGAAAGGCAGAGATATTTTTTTTAACGTTTGGTTAACAAGCAAAATTCTTCATTTCACATGGCAGTTTGACAGCACGTAACGAATGTCCCTAACTGCCAGCCGGGGGACAGAATAGCGCTGTGGCGGGCCGTCCTGGGTGTGGAGCCCAGCCCTCCCGGTTGGCGCACGGAGGCCTCTCTGTGAGCTGTGGGGCAGCCGAGACCCCACGCCGTTCCACAGAGGACAGAGACGGTAACAGCTGGGAGAGTGGCAGAAGCCACCTCGGAGTTAGGGAGATGCTTCCTTTTAGGGCTCGTGGGCGAGCGTGGAGGAGCAAGCCGGCATTCATTAGGCTTCGTCATTCCTTAGCCTCAGAGACATCCCGCTCTGGAAGCGAGCTGTTCCGTGCAAAAGCAGAACATTTTCTGCATTTCCCTTTGTAAATGTTTGGTCCCTTTGTGCATGGCCGTGGGACAGTGCTATAGACTTTGTTAATTTGTAATGTGTGGTTAAAACGCTTTCATGATTCAAGTGACCACAGTTTGATGCGTGCCAGCTCGGGGTACAGTGGCTCCTGTGACATGCACATGCTGTATTTTTGCTTCACAAGACACGTTTCACGATGCATTTCTGCTGCCTGAATGTGGAGCCTGGCCCGGGGGGTGGGTTTCCCAAGAACACTTCCTTCCACCCTGTGGTCCCCCTGAGCAAATGCACATGGGACTTACGGCGCTTGGGGGTGGCCACCTGCCGAAGCAGCTCCTCCTGGCACGAGTGCCGTGTTCACTGGGTGTCAGAGTGGGGGCTGCATTTAGTTCTTCATATAAGTGCATAGTCACCTGTTTTCTTTGATTGTAATCGTAGTTTTAAATTTGATCATCCTTCCTAAATGCTGGATCTAGTAATTTAAGAAACCCTTATGAATGTAGTTATGGCCAGTTTAAATCTGTTTTTAAAAACTCCAAGAGCACAGGAGAATCTGGCCTCTTCAAGAAGGCAGGCTGAGGGTGGGGCATGGGAGGGGCGGCGCGGGTGGCCCGTGGTCATCTGCGGGGTTGTTGGGGACCCAGAACATGTCTAGTCGGCTTCAGACAAGTCGTTTCAGGAGACGTGCAGAGGGTCACCAGGGAGGAGCTCCTTTTGGTTAGAAGGGGATCATCACATCCTGTGGACGTCTCCAGGCAGAGACCAGACTCGCGTGTGTCAGAGACACCCGAGGGGGCAGGGCGGCCGCCGGGGGTCTGTGTGCCCCTCTGAGGGGCGGAGTAGGCGTGTGCCCACCCTGAGGCCGCTGGCGTGGCTATGGAGTAGGGGGCTGCCCCATGGGGGAGGACTCAACCTGCGGAAGGGCTTTGCCAGGCGGGGAGCTCTGTCTGCGGGTGCTGGGAGGGAGGGCCTGGTGCGGATCAAGGATTGAGGCTTTTATGTTGGGGGGGTACTCAGCTGTTCTCGGGTGTTTGCGGGTGTTTGGCCCTCACACTGCCCACCCAGCCTGATCCTGGGCCTGTGTGCCTCGGGGCTCGCAGGTCCCTGAATAGCTTTCGGGAAATTGCACACAAAACCGTGGGGCAGTAGTTCTTGGGGGGAGCCCCCACGTCTCTCAAGGGTCTATGCCACCCAGAGAGGGTAAGAGCCCTGCCCTGAGTCACATGCGATTCTGAATGTGACGACATTGATACAAGTTGAGCCATTTATGTAGAATTGTTGTACCTGGCTCCTCCGTGTGCTGATACGTATGCCATTACCCACTTTTGTGGGGAGCCACCGCCTCGAGTTGCGCTGTCCAGGCTCAGCCTGATTAAGGGGCAGCCCCCAGTGCGTCTGCCCCAGCAGGTAGGCACGGCCCCTGCAGCTTGTTCAGCAAGCCTGGTGGCCAGTTCCGGGCAGGTGTTTTCAGAGGTGGTATTCTGTTCAGATGTGCCTTTTTCTGCATTTTCAGTAGTGCCTTGAAGGGTTAGCTCTGAGAAATGTCCTCTGCAGCGGGTGGAGGGGAGGGGAGACACCTGCAGCCCTCGCGGAGACCTCATCCCACCCAAAGGCATAGGCTGGGGGGAGGGACTGGAGCGCAGATCCCCCATTACCCTGCAGGGTCACTGGGGAGCTGCCGTTCGTGGCCTGCAGCCCCTACTCCTGTGCCCTTAGCTACGCCCCTTGTGAACAGGAGGCTTCAGCTGTCTGCTTCCTGGCCTCTAGGAAGATAGAGCTGCTCTCTGCGAGCTGCCGTGGCATGCTGGGCACACAGCCCCAAGGCTCCGAGGGGCCAGGTCACACTTAAGCTGGTGGTAGGGAGGGGATGCAAAACTACTGATTAAGGCAGTGGGGCCCTCCTCCCCAGAAGGTTGGACCACCGGTGCAGCCTGGCAGAGAGAGACTTATGTGAGTGCATGGCAGAGGGCCCTGGGACGTTGCTTTCTCCCTCGTGCCCAGGTTATGGCCTTCCTGATACCCCAGGACTAGCTGGGGCTGCTTTACTTTTTCAGATCAGCTCTGAGATGATGAGGAAGATTCCAATACTCAGAAGCCTTCGCTACCAAGAGAAGCGGGCTGGGAAAGATGTCACCCTTCAGGATGAGCGCCAGCACCTTCCGGAAGTGAGCAGCCAGCAGCCAGCTCCCCTGAGCACTGCCAGGAGACCCCAGGACCCACCCCAGCCGGGGTCAGGTTCCATGCAGCTGGGGGATGTGCCCCCTAACACTGTTTATATTGGGAACCTTCCCCGAGATGCCCGAGTGAGGGAGCTGAAGAGAGCCCTCCGAGACCTGGGTGCAGCCCCCCGGCGGCTTACCTGGCAGGGGCCACAGCACGGGGCCTTGCTCCATTACCAAGACCCTGCCTCGGCCCAGCAGGCCATGTCCTGCTTGCAGGGCTTAAGCCTGGGCACCAGCACCTTGAGGGTGGCACTGGCCAGGCAGCAGAGGGACGGCGACTCAACAGGCAGCCAGGCTGGACCATCTCCCAGCTGTCTCTGACCCGTGACTGTCCCTCTCTGGGCCCCGTGGACTTCAGGCCCGCATGGCAGGAGCTGTTCTGCAGGAGCCGCGTTGAGTTCACACCGCTCTAGGAAGTCGCAGCCTTCAGCTACTGCCTGGTGGTCTGATGCGCAGGGACATTAGCTGTCACACAGTCACACTTCCTGTGTTCAGGTTCATCCCGGCCCTTGGGCCTGTTGGATGTCACAGCCGTGCTGATTTCTCTGTACAGACAGCAGTTTACAGGGTTCAGGGACCAGGCGGGCAATAAATATGTGGAAGTAGATGATGACTGTGCTTTACTAGAGTCTGTGTTCTGGATGTGAGAGGAGCGCCGGTCTGAGAACGCCGGCAGAGGCTCCTGCCTGGGGCGGGCCAGTGCAGAGCAGGGCGGGGCAGACCAGAGTGCCCTCCAGGCCTGGGATCCTTGGCCTCGCGCTCCTGGGCGGAAGGTAGACGCTGCGTCTCTTGGGTGCAGACTCACGGCTCAGTCCAGCGTCGCAGGGGGAGCGCCCAGCTGCTGTGGACCCCGCGGGTCTCCTCTGCGCCTCCCCACCTTCCCGGCTGCTGCCCCCTCAGGTTGGGGCCCTCTGCTGCCCACTCCGGTCCCTGTGCACAGCAAGAAGCCCTGCCTTGCAGGTGACACTGGCTTTGGGAAATGAGGTGTCCCAGCCCACTTCACGAAGCCCGCACACTCAGTTTGCCCAGCAACTTATGCTTCTGGGGTTTTCCTCCAGTTCTCTCTTCCTGTTAGGCTGGATTTTGGCTGAACTATGCTTTCTAAACAGAAGTGCATTTGCAATTGATCCTGGGCAAAAAGTCAAAATAAGCATGTAAGTGGAGATTCCATTTTTTTCAAATTTATATGCATCGGAAATTTTAATCTTTTTGCCAGAGGGTCTTGAGAGCGTGTCTTAAGCACATTATTAGGCCTCAAGAGACAGGCTGTGCATGTACTTTGAAGGAAGTGTTCTCAGGACCCTCAGTCTCCCTCTGAAAAAGCATTTTCTCATTGGTTTTGTAATGAAAATACTGTGCTGACTTCAGAAAGAAAATCCGTCCTTAGGCTTGCTTATTAAATGCAGACCCCTTTCCCAAGGTGTCATGAATAAAAGGGGGAGGTAGGAGCCCCTTCACACGGGCCAAGTCCCCCCATAGGGCTCCTGGGCTCACGCCTCTCCTCCTGAGCTGCCCACCCTGCCCGCACGGCTGTCCCGCCTTGCCCCTCGGTGTCCAGCACGCACGTCGGAGGCCCGTCCTGTAGGCAGCATCTGATCCTCTGAACTCCCCGCTCCATTTTCCGGTTTTTTTTCTAGAACACCTCCTGTACATGGCATGCCTGTTTAGTTTCTGTTGTCTGTTTTGCTGATTTGTTGCCATTAGAATAGTGTTCCAGGAGAACAGGAGCGAGTTTGTGCCTCTCTGGTCACTCCCTGCGGTGCCCAAGCTGCGAGAATGTTGGTAAATGTGCCGCAACTCGGGATAAACGTGTGAGCGGGTCCACCGGCGCCAGGGCGGAGGTGCTGGATCTCGGTCACACCCCGGGAGCCGTGTCCGGCCTGCCGTACATACTGAGTTATCCCTCCTGGTTAAGCCGCATCGCTTGGGTTTTCTGTCACGTGCAGCCAGAATAACCCAGATGTATTGACATCAAGATCCTGTGAACGAGTTTATCATTTTTGTATTCGTGGGACATTGATCAGCATAGGGAAAGCAAGCAGCCAAGTGGCTGAGATAGGAGGCTGACTCCCTGTGCTAAGACGCTATCCATGACTGTCACAGTCCCAGCAGGGCTTCCCTGTGGAGCTCAGTCGGGTGCACGTGAATGCTCAGCAACAGGCGAGAGCAAGGAGAAGGGATTTCCCCTCCTCGGGGGTCAGAACACACTCTGAAGCTTCAGAACCTAAAGCAGTATGGTGTCGGCGAGTCAGCACATCGGTGGAACAGAAAAGAGAGTTCCGAAGCTGGTAGGAATCAAGAACATAAGATTAATTACAAAGGGAGGGAGGACTTGCTTAAGACATGGAACGAGAGCTGCTGACTGTTGCTATATGAAGGCTGAGTAAAACAACTCGGATTTCTAGATCGTACTGCCCATGGGAATAAATTCTCGGCTGTTCAGACATCTAACTGCAATAGGAAGTACAAAAGAACTTGGAGATAATGCAAGAGAATGTCTTAAAATGTTGGGATAGGCAAGGGCTTCATAAGCAAGACCCTGGATTTAACGAGGAGTTCATTCCTTTGTCCCCTTCAGACTATCAGGTTTTGATTGGCACAGAAATTATCCTTCCAAGATGAGCTCTCTGAAAAACACTTTTCCAGGTAGCCAATTAACTAGTGCAGTTTATGCAGTTATTAGTGTTATCCTTTTTAACCCTGCCAAATGCAACAAATAAAAGTCCCTCTTAAGCTGTATAAAAATATTGCCAGTGAACCAGCTGCCCCCTAAGCTGAGTTGGTAAAGCTGTCAGCATGGAAGATTCATTGCTTTTCTGGAGTGTTTTGGGTCAGGCATGTAATCCATGTCATACTTTCAGAAAAGGGGGTTGGGGAGTCAGTGGAACAGTGCAGTTTTCACATCTGGAAAAGAATCTCCAACTCAAGGAGAAAGGCCAAACCTCTTGGTGCTCTGTTTCTCCCACCGTCCTTCCTCCCACGGGCTCCTGAACGCCACCATGCTGCCCAGCAAAACTGATTCACGGCTGGCCGTCCGGCCAAGGCACCCCTGCCCTTGCTCAGCTCTCCCTGGTTGAGCGGCAGCTCTGTGACGGGGCGCTGGCCTTGAAGGGGCAGCGTGCGCATCGGCATTCCGCAGGCTTCTCATGGAGGCTGCGTGTGTGTCAAGGCATCCAGAAGACATACGCAGTTCATAGCTTCCTCTCAGCTACGTGGAGCGGTGGCGGGCTCTCCAAACCTCTTATTCTTCAAAGTGTTTCAGCAACAGACCCAGTCCTGCTGCTTGTTGAAAAGATGATACGCACGGGATTCCTACCGTGCAGCAAAGTGGCTGAAGGTGAGCTAGAACTCCAACAAGCCTCGGAAACTGTTTGGGAGACATCGGGAAAGGAATGATCCTGCACCCTAAAGACCATTGTGATTTCTTTGCTAATATCTGTCCCTGTGTAGATTGTTTTATTCAGTTTCACCCAAGTCACTTTTGGAATGACAGCCAGAAGTATTTACAATACTTCTGCACCTGAAGTCAGTCTGGGGTCCTCGGGCAGTGCCCGTCTGCCCTGGTCCTTGGCGTCTGGCTTCCCTGGGCAGATGGGTGCTCCTGTCACATGTTCCCTGTGGGCCAGGCCCCGGCACTCGCTGTCTCAGCCCCCCGATGTGGGGAGCAGCGCTCTCCCCATTTCTGCAAATGAGGAGACTGAGGCCACTCAGGAGCAAGTGAGCCCCTACCTGGTCCCACAGCCACTTTTGGCAGAGCTGACTGTCACAGATAATCGCCCCAAATCTCTTTCCCCTTCTATACCCCACTTCTCACACCTGGGCCCCCCTGGGCTGGAGGCTCCCCAATGCCAGGGCTGCACACCCCTGTGGGCAAGAGTCAAGCCTTTTGGTAAGAATTGGTTCCATGCACGAAAAATGGATGGAAAACGGATGGCTCTCATAATGGAAGAAAGCCGCTCTCAGAAGACTGAAGGGGGGCTCATTCAGGACCCCAGGCCTGGACAGGGGCACAGCCCCACTCCCGCTCTGGCCTCTGCCCTGAAGAGCAGAGCTTTGCTCCCCTCACTTCCTTCCTCTCCCAGCAGACGAGCAAAGACAGTGCTGTTTACACCCTGCATGCTCCCAGAGGTCTGCCACCCTTTGGGCACCAGTTGGCCTCTCACTGTCACCCGGTGACCCACGTACCTCGCCCCTGTCGCCACCTAAGTGGAAGGTGGCAGGTAAAGGTGGAGCAGGACTACCTCGGGGAAGGGCAGGTGCAGCTGAAACCACAGAGAAGCTCGTCTTTGGAGAGAGGGTGGAACGTCAGGTGGGATGGCAGGGGAGGGAAGACGCACCACCCCGTGTGCCCTGCGCCCCAGCAGACACCGGTAACCCGCTGGGCGCTTGCCGGCCAGCATGAGAAACCTGCACTCGGCGCGTTCAGGGACCAGGTCTGGACGATCTGACTTGGCATGAGATAATGAAGCTTTCTGCCTTTGTGCCAAACCCCAGCCTCTTGGGAAGCCTCACCACAGGAGCTGCCCCCGGGAAGCTCTGGCTTGCAGATGGCTCTTCCCAAGAGGTCTCTTCTGAGTCCTACGCCCCTGCCCGCGGCAGAAATCACTGAACGGAGATTGCTAAACCCACTCCCCCATCTGGATCCCATCCAACCAGAGTTCCAGACAGAACAGATACCTCTAAAACGAGGGCCATGGGCTCTAAGCCATTTTTAAGACTTCTTTGAAGGGAGTCCTGGGGAAGCCTTTCTCCAATATAAATCTTACGCAGAACTCCGTACATGAAAGCTGGAGGGGGTTAGTGTGTGGTGAACAGGACCAGCTCCCACAGCACCCTGGGAGGGGTGCTGCCCACCTGAGCGCACCGCCTTTCCTCCTGGTAAGAAATCGCTGTGTTCATTGAGCTGTTTTAAATGCTGTGGCCATAGTAAAATGTGGCCGCAAAGCTCTCCTGCACTCCTTCATGGAGAGAAGGGGGTGCCCACCCCCTTGAATCCGGCACCGGGGGGACAGCCTGGTTAACAGGCTGTGGCCGGAGTGCCCCGGGACGCTGCTGGCTGGCATGCGGAGTCTGAGACTGGCAGCTCGGGGTTCGTCCTGGAGCCGGGCCACCACACCGAGGAGGCCCGGGCTGTGCGCAGAGGCCCACCCGGCAGCTGTGCGGGCGCTCCGCTTGGAGGTGGGTCCTCTAGCCCAGAGGAACCATCTGGGCCGATGCCCCCAGAGCACTGCCCAGATTGAAGTCTGGTCTGCAGTAAATGACTTTTGCTGCTTTAAGTTTGGAGGGTGATTTATTCATTAATAATCAGTTGCATAATTTCATTGATATTACAATGGTATTCATATATAAATGATATGTATAAATAAGTACATGTAACTGAAGCTATAATGGAAATTTAAATTATGTAGATGTGCAAGTGCGTGTTTCACCTAATCATCATGATCACTTCTGCGGGGCATCCCTGCTCAGACGGATAACCGAAGTCCAGAGAGGACCCACTGGCCCCCACCCCGCCAGCTAGTGCGTCCTGCAGCCAGGGGTCGCGTGTAGCTGGCCATGGACCGAGCCAGAGCCAGTCACCCATGTGTCTTCCTTCACTGTGGAGTATCTCTA